GAACATTTCCACTGCTTGGTCTACCAGTCATAGGACGTGGATGAGGCAAAAGGCCCAGGGGTCTTGTACTGGTGCCACTAGCTGAAGGTGATGACTGACTGCTGCTGGTAGTGGTTCTTTGTGTGGTGGTGCTGGTGATGGCTACAAGTTCACCACTAGCCTGTATAGAGCGTGCCTGACAGCTTCATTGACAGCCTGTGTTAGGCTGTCAGACACATCTTCAGAATATATGATTTGAATCTTGAGAAAAAACATTTTGAATATATAAAATTTGATAATTTTTTGACTTCATGTAAACTATACCGTTTTGCTCATGGCCATGCTGTCTACATGTGCTTGTGGGTTTATGGCCTCACCTTTACAACTTTTTATGTTATTTTGGTGCGTTATGCCACTGATTGAACCATAATAACAGCCATGCCATTGTGGCAGCCATTTTGTCACTTTCAAATTTGGCTGCCAATTGTGCCCAGGGCACTTCCTTTTATACTGTGATCGACGGAAGCAATTTCATGACATTGTGTGAATGGTTTTATATAGTGCACCTTCTTGTTTAAGCAAATTTAGTGTTCTCTTCATCTCTTCCTCATACTTTTCAGGCGCAACAGACATGTCCCATCTAGATGGTAATTATGAAGGTTAGTGTATTTACAAGTATTTTATATTTTAAATGCCATACCGTTTTGATTTGTGAATGGTGCAATACAGGCAAGCATAGTTAGGACGTGCTGCATTTAGGCCCATAACCATCAATAAGAACTGAGATGGGAATACTTGTAAAATGGTAATTTGTTTCTACTTCAGTAAATACCTTGTAATCTCCTCCTTGTAATATATTTGAACCAGAAGTCCAAATTCTCCTTAATTCTCTCCCATTTAGCAGAACAATTGCTTATAATAGTATCATTGACCTTTTACTCTTCTTTTTAACGTTTTACATGTGTGTGGGTGTGTCATTATAAATTAATAATGTAACTCTATGAATAATTAATTCTCACACACTCCCCCGGGTTGTCCGAAGACAACTAACAAATAATAATACAACAATAACCTATCAGTAATTAATGATAGCAATAATCCTAACAATATTCCTAATAATGAATAATAATAACAATAATAATAATAATAATATTCCTAACTATCATACATAATAATCATTACATGTATTTATTCAAACAAGATAAATTGACTAATATTACAGTTAGTCATCAGCCAAACCTCTTATCCAAGATTTAGCTTCTCTAGCTGCTCTTCGTTAAGGGCACTTCGTAATAAAGTCCAAACGGTCAGACTTTAGGGCTATTAACAACAGTTGAACATTCGATCGGTTCTCCTTCAGAGGTTGCAGATACTTCAAGAGGATAGAGCTTTTGTATTGGGCATCTTAATGTAGTTATTTGTCCTCCAGGTGAGTGGGTTCTTACCGAAACGCCTCTAATGAATCTATCAATACCCTTGAACAGGGATTCCACAACTCCTAGTCTCCATTGGCCTCGGGGCAATTCTTCATTATGGATAAGGACGACATCTCCCTTGTTAATCCTTCCAGATTGGTTAAGCTTAAGAGGTGAATGACGATGGGTATCTCTTAATTTAATCGAATACGAACTGCGCCATCTCTTCCAGAAGTGATTGAGTAAGAAATGAAAATACTTCATTCTATCATGCAATTCCTCTATAGTGATCCTGAATTCTTCCTCAAAACTGTTATCGGATTCCACTGAAGGTAAATTTATTACTTGACGTCCAATGATCAAATGAGAGGGTGTCAATGGTTGCTCATTGTCGTCAGACTCTATGTATGATAATGGTCTAGAGTTCAGAATTATCTCAACTTCTGCTATTATGGTAATCAACTCATCATATGTCAATCGTGCCTTCCCAATGGTCTTCCTTACACATCTCTTGGCACTCTGAATCATC